GACGTGACTTTCTGCTGTTTGTGTGCAGGTGAAATGCAACAGTGTACGAGCACTTTTCTGCCTGATGCTCGCTAAGTTTGGGCGGGGAGGGAGAACCCTTCTTTCTTCTGCCATTAATCGGACACGAGATGTGGGCAGCCAGAGGAATTTCGCAGGCCGTTAGGAGGTCTCTTATGCTCGTTATGTGCATGTGATGTTGTATTAATCCCTTCTTCCATGCTCTACCCAGTCCATCCCTCCTACTCTGAACAAGCCCCCCTGCCCGGCACAGTAGCACAGATAGGGGGCCCCCGCGGTCCGGGCGCCCGGGGGGGGGGGGGGGGGGGGGGTCACCACAGGTCACACTGTCAGCCTCGAGAGACTGATGGGGGGCTTTAATCCACGCCAGCGTCACAAAGATGGATCAGATGTAAACGCACCGGCGCGTTCATTCACAAGTTTGAATGAGTGTCTGCAGCCATGAGCCCTAAAAAAAAAAAAGGCACCATTTTGCAAATAAAGTGTGCGGAGTTCCCTTTTTCACCCACCTTTGTTTTTCACCCTCTCACCTTCTGCAAGTCATGCACAAACACACACACACGCCGACACACACACACGCAGAGCAGCGGCAGAGTGACAGGAACAGGTTTGCAGCAGGGTGAGGGGTGACGTGACTCACGTCCAGCTCGTTCGTCTGTGGTGTGTGTGAGTCCACACACTCCGAAAGCTGCTCAAACAAACACTCTTTCTCTTATATAAATACCAAGGTACCAGAGAGAAAAAAAAAGAGAGAAAAAAAAACTGGCAACAATCTGAGCAACATGTGGCTCATCATAAAACACAAGCTAAAGATTTCAGGTATTTCTTAAAGGAAAAGCTGCTGGTTCTTCTCAGTGTTTAATTGTGTGCATTTTAGGGAGACCAAGACCAATTCTGAGTTATTCAGTTTGGATGTGGGCTGCCTTTAGCTCTGTTCTCTGTCAGATGTTCCCACTCTGCTCCAGTCATGTGGAGCTCCGGCTCTGGGGAGGATCCATCTCTCCATCAGAGCTCAGCCTTTTCTCTTTGTTTCCCTTCAGAATGGCTTCTTGACAGCCTCCCTTCCACAGAGAGTCCTTTTTCTTCTTTTCTCGTCCAGTTTTCTCAAATATTTTAAGGACACACAGCACACCGTGCTGAGATATGCCAAGTTTTCAGCCAGCAGCTCTTTGGGAATCAACAGAAATCCTGTTTCTGGCTGTCAAACTCTGTTACCTAATTTCCCAAGTACAGTGAATGCAGCATCAACGGAAGTTGAAGTTATATAGAAGATCTTCTTTATAACCTTATAAAGTGCTGTAAGCCTCTCCTGCAAATCTGAAAGACTCACTGATTAACACACTTTCGGATGTAAACCCCAAAAACAGTTAATTTTTTAGTTGGTAAAGACTACAAAAACCCAAATATGAGCTCTCCAGCACAGAAAATGATTTTTTCCATAGTATGTCCCCTTTAAAGCAGAGAGATTTCATTGCAAAATCAATTTATTCCAACAGAATCTCTGTGAATATACTTGCAGGTGTCAAGTAAATCAGTAACAGCAGTGCTGCCAACTCACACTCTTGGCACGAAAAACTTGCTTTTGGGCTCTTTCTCACACTTCCACATAGCTTTAAAAAAAGGTCATGTAAAAAAAAAAAGAGATCTTCAAAGCTTCCCCAGGAAAAAATACAGTCATAGCTTTCTGGGTTAGACAGGTTTTCGCAGCACATAAGAAAGGTGCTATATTTGGCCTTTCTGTTCACTTCAAATACATGTTGGCATCTTTTCAAAGGACGTTTGCCCAAATTACAGCAAAAAGTACAAGTTAAATATCCTCTCATTTAATAATTATCAGTCGCTTAATTAGCAGTGCCGAAAACATGAGAAAAAACAATGAAAAGAGCCAAAATATGATATAAGGGACTAGACTGACCATCTGTACGGAGCAATTACTGTGCTGTGATAACAGCTAGCAAGTCCCTGGCTGTTAAAAACTTTAGCTGTTTTTTATATATATAGTTTACCAAAAATACTCACATAGAGATTTAATGATCCAGCTGAAACAATGCATATTAATTTCCATCATTCCTCCTTCTCTAGCACCTCACAGACAGCTGACCCATGTGGCTGCTGGACTTGAATCTCACCAACCTCCTTCAGGCCATTTCTCCTGTGGCTGGATCAACAACGCTGCTTAAAAAGAAAACTAAATTGGGAATTTTATCAAGTCTCAGACCCCCTTGGAAGAGAAAAACCTTCTCGGTTTCATCTTATTGGCTTTGGCAGAGATCCTAAAAGCAGCTTTTTGGACGAAAAGTCATAATATTCAAATAAATGTGCCTCACCGGGCATCACACCGAGGACAAACACTTCTGGGATGCCCCCAGGTTAGAAACAAGGACCCCATCTTTTTGCAATGTCGAGCATGTTTGGGGAAATTCTGTATACAATCCAACTGTTGACGCAAACTAGGGGTTACTTCCTGCTTCAGATACCGCCAGGCATGTGTCTCCCATCATGCACAGGGAGCGGGGGAGCATGTGCTGCTCGCTCATCCGTAAAGGACACGTGTTCAGGGACTGCACAGAGCCCGGCGATCCGGTCCAGGGTCCAAAGCCTGTCCTGTTCGACCCTTACTGACCAGCAAATTCCTCTCAGGAATGTCACCTGGGACATGGTGCATCCTCAGTTCAGGCTGTCTCCATTTGTGGTTCCGAGAAAATGGAACTGGCAGTCACATGCTCTCAGAGCACTAACCTAGACTGCACCGGATTAACTTCTGCTAGTGTGAATAATCAAATATAATTGACCAGATTTTCACATAATAAGACCAGAGCTTCTTACAACTTCCCTTTGGACTAAAAAAAATCTAAACACTGCATTCGAATGTGAACGATCTCTGTGAGTCACATGAATGCACACTGCCTCTGGTTTGTATGTTGTCAGAGCACACACGCACGCACACACACACACAGACACACTAATTTGCACTGACACACAGATGGCCTCTGCTCTGACCACAAATGTAGTGTAACCCCTGCTCCCTGCGGTGTGGCCGGGGCTCAGGCTGCCAGTAAAAGCCAGGGATGCTTCATGGCTCAACAATTCGCTGGCTAAATGGAAAGGATTTGCTGTGTGACCTCAAACACAAGTCTCAGTCTGCCTTTCTCTCTCCATCTCCCTTTTTTGTGTTTCATTTAGTCCACTTCTGAGTTATTTGATTTCATTGCCCGTCTCTTTTAAAGCAGTGAGCATTCGGATCTTTTTAAATTTCCTCTTTATTTTTGCCCCACTTTCGAACTGTATTGTGACAACTGAGAGTAAGGGCTGAAAAAGAGCCCTGGAAGGGTAATTTTAGCTACTTGAGCTCATTCTTCTCTCTCTTTCTCTCTGTGAGCAGCCGAGTTTCGCAACTCCTGCGGCGCTTTCTCTCTGTAATGCAATCTTTTCTTTATTCCGTCTTTCACTTTTGCCTCATATCACAGCTTCTTTTTCTCTCCCTTGTCAGTGGAAGTGTGATCCAGCCACCCCCCCCCCCCAACCCCCCTCCGTCTCTGACAGGTCAGCAGCAAAGTGAGGACACAAAAGGAGGGCAAACCTCAGCTCCAAAATATGAGCAGAATGAAGAAAAAAAACTGTACATTTCAGTACAGCGTGGTTCAGTGGGTTTATTAGGTAACAGATATGCTGAATTGGAGTCCAAAATCGCATTTGGCCAAAAAGGTTTTAATGGTATTAGAGACATTACTTCATGGGGAAGTGACTTCTCTTGCGAGATTAAAAATGCGTGATCAGAAAATTGAATAAGTGCAACCTTGCTGGATCCAGATGTGGTTAATCTTCGTGTAAGTGCTGGGGCTGTCACACGCGGTGGCCGGGGCTGCTCAGTATCTCAGAGCTCCACACAGGAACACAACACATTGCATGTGCTCAGAGGGTGGATATCTGCCTGCGTTCGTAAAATATAGCCCTGAAATTTCATACGGTGCTTTGCTGACGGGGAGAAAAAGCTCCAGAGGTGTGAGCGCTTGCGTAACCAATATCGATTCCAGTCGTCCCTTCAACCCAAAAGCAGAAAGTAAAGTCCGGCCAGGTGGATTTTAAGCGCGCACAAACGCACACACCCTGCCGTAAAAAACACAGAGAGACTTGGATTTTTCAAACGTGAGGGGACGGCCGAGGATTAAGGGTGCCGGGGAACAGGGTTACGGTTAACTTTTCCACCAAAGGGTGTCAAAAAAAAGGAACTAAATTGGGTGTTGGAAAGCACTAAGGAGCTGAAATAAGTCAGGGTCCCGTACTCCCATGTGGGTGGGTGTTTGCTTTATACTTCTCAGACAATGTCCCTTTAAAAAGCCCCATGTCTGGAAAGCCCATTAGCTGTGCATATAAAATTTCCGCCCGTGATTAATAGTTGATGAGGAAGGGGTTGGTTGAAGGGTACTACCAACATGTGGTCAGCAGGGCTCCTCCTCCGCAGTGTCGCCTTACATTCCATAAACTTGCCACTTTTTCCCACCTATACGTTTTTTAAAAAAAAGGAGGAGGGCTCACTTGTCAAGAATGCCTTAGAAGAGTTGTGAAAACAGCCAGGCAGAGGAGGGGAGGCACGCAGTTGCGGACGCAGCTCTCACACTCAGCCACAAGCCGGTCCGAGCCCTGAGAGAGAGGAGAGTGTGTGTGAGCGCCAGGCAGAGGGGGAAAGTGTGTGTGTGGGAGAGAGAGTGTGTGTGTGTCGGGACCGGGGGGGGCTCCGAAAGGACGTCACGCACACTCCCGGAGAGAGAGAGAGAGGGAGGCTCGCCGTCACAGGAAAGGCGTCCATCCTAACGCCGGCCAGTCAGCAGCCTCTGGCCGAAGTGAGCAGAGCCCAGTCTGGTGCCATGAGAGACGTCCATGTAGGCAGCTGAAGTGGACATTTTTCCAAAAAGTGACAGACCCAGAGACTCATTTTTGTAAAGATTGGAAGAGTTTGTTTTTGTTTTTTGCTTTGCGTGACCATGGACCAGCCGGCCAGCAGCTGCATGCGGAGCGCCCACCCCAGCAGCCCCATCTGGGGCTGCATGAGGAACCCCCACTCCGGGGTCCCCGGGGCCAACCTCCAGTCGCCCTACCAGCAGGCCCCCTTCTCCCTGCACCAGAAGCCCGAGTTCCTGGCCTACACGGACTTCTCGGGCTCCTGCCTGGTGCCCGCGCAGCCGCACGCCGCCTACCCCCGCGACGACAGACTCTACCCGGAGAGCCCGGGGGGCTACCAGAGGGCCGAGTGGCCGTTCAACCCCTGCGAGAGCCGGCTGAGGGCGCCCGAGGCGTGCCCACCTGTGGCCCCCGCCGTGGCGGGCGGCGGGGGGGG